CATCCGACATATTTTAGTTGTATTATTACGCAGTAAAAAGTAATGCCTTACTAGTCTGGCAGAAATTCAAGTCAAAACCTTAGAAAAAGAAAAATAACTTAAAGGATTTTGTATCGCATACAAATATTTACAAATGAGCAGGAAAATTACGGTTTATTTAAAGCAAAAGTGGAAACATATTTTAGTTTTGTAAAAAGGACAAAATGAGAAAAAAAGAAGAAAGAGCATTCTCTCATATGGCTTTACTTTGTTTTTTATTGAAATATTATCTCTGTTCTGTATGTATATATAGATGAGACTATTATAAAATACATAAAAGATGTCATTGTTTGCAGAAATATGCAGTTCATTTCTATAGTCAATGAGATATATCTAAATAGCTTTGTATAGTGATATATCTTGTAAATCTACTATTTTAAGGGACTTAAATTGGATTGAAATGTTATTTACAAAAAAGTTGAGTTCGGTTTGTGATGATAGTTGTGGGGTATTGTTTGCTGCGAAAATCAGATTTGTAGAACCCAAAATATTTTACACAATTTCAAATAAAGATAAAATGAATGTGACAGAATAATACATTGACAAACAACTAGAGGAATAAATACTGTGCCCATCAAAGTCTGGAGACAAGTCAATAAAAAAAGTATTCTTGGCAAAATGCTTAATTTAATTCTATTTGAATGTATAAAAACATTTGATTGTGTATGACCTTGGGAGGCGTCCATAAATAAATCAATATGAAAACAGTTCTTTGAAAAGCAAAAATGTCACTTGACATTGTCGAGTGAGATTTCTCAAAAAGGCAATTAACTTTTATTTATAACAAAAGATAAACTGGGAATATTCATCTAGATATGTTCCTCAACGTTACAGTTGAAGAGGCCAGAAACACTAAGGTTCTCCATGACTAGTCAAATCTACCGCTTGTTAAAGAAAACCACAGACTTAACATGCTGCTATAGATAAACTAAAAACTTTATAATATGAACTTGCTGTAAATTATATGTAATAGAACTATTGTATATGAACTGTGCTATTGATTTGGTTTATTGTTGATATTGAAAAGCTGTAGTTTTAAATTATGCTCATATATCTTATTTGTATGTTAAACTGGTAATGTGTTCCGCTGCAAACAAAACAAGCATGACATTGTTCTGTTTTTTTTTACTTTTTATTACATACTTATTTTGTTAGTAGTTCAATATTTATTATTGCTACATAGGAACTTACTTTAAACAAGTACAAATTGGAAGTATTTAAGATATATGATATTATATGACAAGCCGACATAAAATAAAATGAAAATTAGTGATTATGTATATGTAAATATTTAATCTAAATGTTAAATCTAAATCTTAATGTAAATGTTTAATCTAATATTATGCGTAAAATCAGTGGTTTTGTGTAAACGTACAATAAGTAAATCATCGGTCATTGCCTTGTGATTTTCGTTTTTGGACATCCTTTAATCAAAACACAACATATGTTTGAATTATTGTTATAATCTTTGAATTACACTGTACAAATGTGTTTCTTCATTACATCAAAACTGTTAAACTGTGTTGATTTCAATACTGTTAAAGAAATTATTATACATGTTGTATATATTGTTCTGCTTTTTAAAATTGGGGGAATAAAAGAATCTTTCTATCATTGAAAAAATAATTCTATTTTCCATGTAGACATCAATTTTCAGTTTAAATAATCACGGTTGAATGGTATTAAATCCAGTCAAATAAATGAAAATGTTTCATTTATCAATTAGTCGTTTATTCGAGTCCCAACAGGAACTTCTTTCATGTAAGGAAGCTATCCAACTAGTTTGCGGAAGGTCAGTGGTTATATAAAAACGACATCTCATGACTGAAAAAATATGTTTGAAGGGACACCTGACTTAGTTATCAAACACTCCACCAAAAAGCTTTAAAAATGCCTCTCATGGCCTTTAAGTATCGGCGAAACTATAAGAGAAACAAACAAACAAACAAACAACAATAACTCAAAAATGCACCAACCAATCTGTTTTATAATGAAAATTGAGAATGAAATGAATTAAGATAAATTTAGAATGAAAAAGCACTTTCCTGCTGATGTTTAAGTAAAATATTAATTCAGCATGCTAGATATCTACTTACATTACAGCCCGCAGAGAAAAAAGTCAAAACATTTATACATTTGTCTATACATGTTTATGATCTCATCATACTGTATTCTGTAGGCATTGCGATACTGAAAATCTGTAAATGGATAAAGGCTTGCAAGGTAAAAATTGTCCCTATCACAAAAATACAGATTTGATAATATTATAATTAATAATATTAGATTTTTAATACTTCTACTTCGCAGTACATTTAATCCTTATTCATCTTGAAATATGGCTTTGTCTGTCTTAGAATTTCTAACAGTCCATCTAAAATTAAGTTTATGGGATTTCAGTGACTGGACTAGACAGGCTGGCTCTATATTGTTAGTTATAAGTATGCGTTAGAGAAGTGCTACTTTAGCGCTTAATTGATCACAATGTACTAAGTAAGCAAACAATTATCATAATATAACAGTGTGCTGATGTAACTGCCACTGGCATATCGATCCTGCTTAAACCGAAAATGATAATTCTTTATTAACAATTAAGGACCAGATCAGCGTGCACATCCGTACAGTCTGATATGGCTCCTTACTGTTTTTCACCTCGATTTTTGTGTTTTGATTTAAATCGTTTAACCTTCGAATAGACATTAGATTAAGTGTCAACAATTGTTATGACTGGTACTAATTACATTGTAAGATGTATAGCTTATAAACCTACTTTGGCAACCAATGAAATAGTATTTTCACACTGAACAATCTTTTACAGAACTACATAGGCACGATTTCCGAATCGCCCGATGGAATGCTATTCAATACCTCACAACTATAGTTTAGAATTGGTAGAACATATGCATCAAACAAGTTGAACATAAATAAAATCAATTGGACCTTGCTTTTTACATTTAATAATGAGGTCACAGCCCGTAGTGCTTTATCCTTTAGTGCGTTTGTCGCTGGATGAATGACATACCGTTAGACAAAACAAAACCCAAGAAGAATCGATGCAATTAATTTATTTATTCGTACTAAATGACCAACACCTTTGCTGGTCTAAATAAGCATATGTTCCCAAAATTAAAACTCATCTTGACTTTGACTTATAGGTAGTGTTAATTTTACTGCATTTTAAAACATTTGAACACAAACCTTCGAGGACGAAACAAAGGGAAGTAAATATTTCTTTATAAATTTTAAAGGTGGTCTTCCTGATAAAAATCTGGAAAAGGGGATATCTCTCGAGCATGAAAAATAAAATGCCAATTTGGACAACGCCGTGTTTGTTCTCGAAATCGTGAAAAATACCTACTCTGTATTGGTTTTCCAAGGGTTAAAGTTAGAAACCGTATCGCTTTCAAAAAAATGAAAGCTGGCCAATGATTGGTTGTTTGGAAGACCTTAACAAGGTGACTACCTTTGAGTGGATATCAGATCCTGATGTGTAGTGTTATTTAGGAGCTGATTTTGATTAGATTGGTTTTAACTCGTAAAATATACACGGTGCCTATACCATGTGGCATTTTGTGATCTGCGTTGGAAAAAAAGTCGGTCCGGGTAACATTTTATTTCATTATTTTTACAAGTTCGAGAGTAGAGTACAGGTTATTAACAAGAAAAAAAAAGCGTTTTCATTTCATCCAATTAAATATAATGATATATAAAATAAGTTATAAAAGAAAAAAATACTTTGACCGACTTTCGGGCCTTACTTTTGGTTTTCTGCCTCACACAGATCACACAAAGTCACGTGGTATATGCACTGTGATAGCGTCAACCCGTCAATACGAGGACCGCCCGGTTACTTTATTTGGATGAGCGTTGGACTGTGTATCGGGTCGTACTTATGGTTTTCTTTCTCACACATATAACAAAAGTCACATGGTAAATGCACCGTGATATGGAAGGAATTTTGCATCAAGAAGTTTATCTAAGGTCCGTCCGGGTTAGCTCAACAGGTGGAGCGATGGACCGGGAATCAAGCGGCATTGGGCCGATTCCCGGACAGTGCAGGTTACTTTCAATGTGATTGATCATTGAATCCTTTCTATGGTCATTCGCACTGTACCTCTGTCCTGGCATCTTCAGATGTTTTAGTTCCATGAGATTTTGAAGACACTAGTACTGCTATACGGATTGACAGCAAAGCGGCTTACTACCGTGAGTCGTAAAAAAACTTTCCCGATAAACCTATAAGCTTCCTGTTACCCAACCGACTTCTCGGCATTTCTCTGACCTTAGGGATGAGAGGTTTGTCATAAATGTAGTCTTTTTCAATGAACTATGTATGACAATGATCTGGTCGATCAAACAATTAAACTGCGAAAATAATGTGAAATAGTCATGATATTTAACTTCCAATTTTAATTTTAAGTTTTTTTTATTCAGGTCCATCACCTGAAATCAAACGGTGACAAAGTGCGGTAGAAATATGCTATGTTACACCATTACTGCGTAAGACACGCAGTAGATTTAAGGTAAATTTTGCATAAATCGCATAAATCATGTAAATAATTTGGATCTTTTACTTTTTATTTTTCACAAAATATAAGTGTATTTTACTCAAGTTTGATTTTTGTTACACTTTAGCTGCAGTCGTACAGACAAAGACAGACTATTTGTGATATTTTTGCTCTAAACAACGCAAATAAAACTTGCACTATGTTTAAATTTAACAGAGTATTTCACGAAATTTAAAGTTGACTTCAATAATGAAAATATACGGATAACATTTTAAATATCTTTGTTGTATGTTTTTTTGACAAACATGTATTTTTATAAAGCGCCTTTAACATAATGTCTTTATCCATGTTGGGTATGGTACATATTAAATATCGACTGTTATATATCATATTTCGTTTTCCTGTTAAGTTTGTTAACATTTAGCCAGATAGATTAACAAAGTAATGGTTTACTTAGGGTAACCACCTTTCGTACTGCTTAGCCTTCTGTTTCTGTTTCGGATTATGTTTTGCATGTTCTTAAGGATAAAAGTAAGTATTTAAACATATTTTATATTTGTGATTTTATTTAACTTATTTCACAACTAATGTTGTACATATAAACATATAAATTGTGTTGTTGTTTTTTTTTATATTTTATTCTCCCCAATTATCATTTAATATCGCATCAAAATTTTCGTCACTTTTCAAATTCTTAAATGACTCAAAAAACCTCTATCGCGATTAAAATGTCTTTTTTTTTGTTAAAGCGAATAACGTTTGAGCTGTTTGTAAATAATTATAATTTTAAAAATATCTGCTGATACAACAACACATGTAAAATTTTGTTTATTTTATGCTATTGTAAAATAGATGTTTTAAGAAAGTTTTAATAAACGAGAAAATGGTCAATGTACACATCTGCCATATGTAGATATGTAATATCTTATAACGTATTTAACTCTTCCCAACACCATCCATATACATTTGTTTTCGTGGTTTGTTTTTATGTCTGATTCTAAATACATGTACTTCCAAAGTAATTATTTAATGTATTACAGAGCTTCAATTTTAGACCCATTCACTTTTAAAGATAAGACAATTGTATATCGGGTAAAGTAAATGTAAAGTGACGTTGAAATATCCATCTTTTTGTGGGATTTGTTTTTTTTTTCACACATAAAGTAGAGATAAACTCTTCTAATTTCAATTGAAATTTCTCAGAAGTATTAATGACTGAGAGCTTTTCGCACGCATTTTCCTGATTTTGTAATTATATTATTTTTGACAGATTTATTCCCCCTTGCTATTTTTACAATTATTCAAACGATTTAACTTGGTTTAGAACAATTTTTACGTACTTTAGGGATTCTATTTTTCTCAATTTTATATATTTAGTAACCATGTATGCAATCGCAACTTCTCTGCTCTTTCCTCACCCGGAACGTCCTTGTCTATTATTCATATTACGTTACCTCTGGGTTAATATGAATTAAAAGTAGTTTCAGAGTTAAACAAAAACAGAGACTGTTATCTTTGATAATGAAAAACGAATGCAAATATTTTACATTCGAAGGAAAAAAAACGTTCGTTTCGGTAAAATTGTGATTGGAAATATGTCTGACATAATAATAAGAATAGAAAATAATGTACTGTTTACATTTATGTCTATGAATATACTTATATTAGGCGGATTTTTACTTCATATATTGTGAAAAATATATAAAAATCCAGTCATTACATTACTATTTGTAAACATGATTAGTAACTGAGCGTAGATTTCACCGAAATACATTATCCGTTTTATATATTCTTACTTCTGTGCTCGAGGTCCTTATCCGAAGACTGACGAAAAGGGTCGAAAAGTTGAGATAGACTTCAGTACGGTATTTCGGTCTAAACTAAACCTGTTCAAATAATAAATGTTCGGAGTTGTTGACTATTTATTTAAGTAAATCAAGCAAACGTGCACCTAAATTAAGTTAAATTATAAATATAAAAGTAAACCGCACATTATATCTATACCTATTTTAATATACTGGCTTTAAGAATAGAAACTGTTAACATAAGCTCGAATTTGGTTATAATTAAAAATGATTGTCACACATACATGTATTTTCAATCATAATTTTATCGGAATAAAATTTATTTCTTTTGAATGTCAAATATATACAATGTACATTCCTTTTACATAATACAAAGATTACATCCTCCGTTATTGTTTACATCTTAATAATCCACGTGAAAAAACAATTTTCCGTTTTAAGTTCGAGATTTTTATGATTCTTAGACGATATGTTCCGATTGCATGACGTGAAAAGAATTTAATCGGTGATGTTATTTTGAGAACATAACAGTTTTTGATAAAATATAATTTGTTGCGACACGCCTCTCTCTTGTCTTATGCGATTACAAGTTGTTTCTTTAATATTTTCAGCAAACAAGGGGAAATCATCGCGAACAAGAACCTCAAAAACACAGTCTGGATTATCCGCCCTTGATTATTTTAAATTGCCTAACTAAATATTAGAACTTTGTATTGCAAATTTGTTATCATTTTGAGTTTGAAAAAATGAAGTTACTTTTAAAATGTTTGGTATTTTTAACAATTTTTAAAGTAATATCCTGTTCAAACGAGGACAATACAAGAGTAATTCTCAGTCATATGCAAGATTGGGGAAAAGAAATTTTCAAGACTTTGACAGGAAAGAATAAAGGACAATACTTAGTCGCAGCTCTATTGTCTGATGACGACTTGAATACACCACATAAGATGCCAGGCAAATTGCTGAAAGGATGTCCTAATGACGGTCCAGATAAAGATAAACATATGATAATGTGCTCAACTAGTGGGGTACTTCTAAACAGAAAAAGTGAGGAAATTTTGAATAGAAGTCGTTGGAATGACACAAAATATAAAGACCATCCGTGGCATGGAGAATATATATTGTTAAATGAAGGTTTCATAGAAAAGCTTGTGGAAAATTTTGGAAAGGACAAAAATTGTCAGGTGTACTTATACTCCTATTATATACCATGTGCTGACATAAATGGCACTCCGTACTCGTGCTCCAATGAAATTCTAATTTATAACGATAGGGGTGATATATCATGTAAAATAACTGTTATCGGGTACACAAAGGTATTTAGACGTTCAAACAAGACACTGACAAACAAGACAATAGCGGTAAATAACATTAATTCAGCCCGTGCACAGTTGTTTCAAAATGTCAAAAATGCCAAATTGATGGCAATTAAAGATGTCAAGGACAGAAATCGTGCTGTACCTTTACAGGAATTAATGTTTTCGTGCCTGGTTGAATCGCATTTGTCAGGCTGTTGTGTAAGCTCCATCTCATACAGAAGACGCAGCAATGAAATAATTGCGTATTTCGTAAACAATATGGTACATTCTGCCATTAAAAATATCAAATTTAATTTTAAGGATCGTAAAAAAAAATATTTGAAGTATTTTGATACGTGGACTGAAAATGCAATTTCACATGAATGTGATGTCTGTCCGTTTGAATTTTACCATAAGCTTGTGATAAAATTCTGCACAAAAACAGCAATGGAATTAGCATCTGGATTTGGAAAGCCTTATAATGCACAGAAATTGTCGCAAGCAGGTTGGACATTTAATGGAGAACATTGGAACCTTCTTTATCCTATATCTCCCGAGCAATTAAGAAATCAGATGAAGCTGCAATGTGCTAAAAAACCTATGTCAGTCGACTCCATCTGTACGAAATATGACAGCGATGAATACAGGAGACGACAACAGGAAAATGACATGCCGCTGAGGAGACGTGGCGGGTGACAAAAATCGGATGAACTGTCTGCAGGAATCACAAATGCGTATTATGTTATAATCATATTTGGTTTAGCTCATTTCTTGTTAAATGGACATGCAAAGAAAACAAGATTATCTTGTGAATTATATATAGCAATTCCAAATATAATCTTGCTTACAAAAGGTTATCTTATCTTATCTTATCAGTTTTGTAAACACTTTTTTTAAATCAACAATAGGAAAGTAAACGTCAAAAATGCATGTAACTTTTCAATATTTTTAAATTAGTCGCTTCATAATTTTTTGATACATAGTTTTGGCATGTATTGGCATATTCATTGAGATAAGATTTTTTAACAGAGATTAAAACAAAAAGCCTGTTTGATTATCTACTACTCTGTTAGTCACTAAATATAGCTAATTTGGTATTTTCAAATAAAGATTTTGCAGATAATAATAATAATAATAATAATAATAATAATAATAACTTTATTTACAGATTGTAACACATTAAGACATATACAGATTGTTACACCTTATTTACAGTGCGGCCTTCTTAATTAAAACAACAACAACAACAACAAAACATATATCAAAAATTATATTGAATAAATGGCCCATTTACCTTTAAAGTGCTATTACAAATATTTCTCAAAAGCTTTTGATTTTTTGTGTCCTGTTAGGTTTTTTTAAAGAAAAAGTACTCATTATAACTAATTTGCGTTTCTGTATTATGTATTGTTATAAGAATTTAATATTTTGTACGCAAGTAAAGATACCACTTACACTTTTACACATAGCATTTAAGTTCGATGGCATTTAAGTATATCAAACAAGTAAAGGAAAATTGATCATGTCTTGAATAAATTGTTACTAGATGAAAAAAACAAAAAAACAAAACAAAAAAAAACAAGGTTATAAAATTGTATTGTAAGATTGAACGTTTTTTGCATGGCTACTATCTGTATGTCTGACAAGTTGTTTGAGCTAATTCTAAAACTCGCCTTCTCGCGTATTTTGAGTACTTTGAATACTTGTAAGTAGTATTTTAAATTATAATTAAAGCATCTCTAAACATAAATGTAAATGGAATTGAATTTATTTCTTTTAATTGCAATGTAGCTACAAACTTAAATAATTTAAGTGACTTTTTCTTTATCCTGATGTTTGCTGAATCTGTTTACAGTCTGTGCCGTCGTGTTAGATGTATCAATTTTACAGTCTTTTTGTACTTTGCACTATTTCGAAACATTCACCTTCCAATTTGCAGCTTTATTTAATGTGTTGAATTAAAACAGTAATTTTGTTTTTAATCAGTTTCATCAACATTTGCTCCGTCTCTTTGTAAATTAGGTTATGCATTCAATGATAACTTTCTGGTTAGTTTCAGTCATAATTTTATTATTATACCTCAATTATACTTACAACTATTTAGCTTAATGGAACGTCACATGGTGTTGATTCCTGGAAATGAATATCACCCGGTCAATAATCCCAGGAGCAAGCAATCTATATAGACCTAAGAAAACGAAGTTCTCTCCCCTTATAAAAATCAATGATGAATGGCTCTCGGAGTAGAGCACAGCGGTGTGATTCGGTATAATGAAACAAAATAACACATGTCTCTCAAGGTAAAAGTGCAAATTAGCAACCCTTGAACTGTAATAACACCCGAGGCGGAGTTCTCGGGCTGTTACCCTGAAAACCGTTTTGTCATGCTAATGCACAGTTTATAAATAGTATAAATAAGCATATAATAGACTATAGACTTTCGTAATTGCAAGTTTTTATCATATGTTCGCTTTTCATCTCTGTCTTTTAATTGTAGAAATAAAAAAGAAATGACAAAATATGAACTGTTTTATTTTGTTTATATACATGTGTTATATAGCGCTACAGCGTCGCTAGAGTATCTATGTGCACGCGCAGTCGAAGCCAGGTAGTATTTAAGTTAGTTACCTTGTAGTTCATCATCTAAGTTACCTTAATTGTAGTTGATCAGAATATTTCGATATTTTGATGGTTCTCCGTGGTATTAAAATTGTAATAAGGATTAAATAACGCTTATGTCAATACTCAGTTTATGTATGATTTATACGGGGCGCACATACAAATTTTTAGGCCATATAGCGCCGCATGAGGAAAGATGATTTCGGGGATAACCTCGGGTTGCTAACAAAACTTAGCAAAACCAGATGTCTTAACAATCTCATCTGCTGGAGCTAAGAGATGCATATACTTCAGTATTCGAACCCCGATTATAGTCGCATCTTATGATCACGCAGGATTAAACGAGGACTGCATTTCTGATGCAACAGCTCTATAGGAAACCCCTCAGCCACAAGAGGTTCCATGCCTGAGGGAAGAGGTTCCATGCCTGAGGGAAGTTCATTATGTTAATATAAACAGAATCGTGGAAACAAAGTCTGTAATGTTTGTAATGTTCATCCGTTGTGTTCTCTTGTTTTTTTTTTTATTACTTTCAATGGATTCCCCCCTTTCTAGAAACGTAATTAATATAAAAACAGAGTTCAAATTCAAAAAAGTGTTTTATTTTGGATTGAAAACTCTGTGACTTTTACAAGTTTTGTGATTCATATCTACCGGCTCATTAAATCCTATCAACTTTAATCATTTTATTTTTCGATATATCTTTTGTGTCATATTGCAGTTTCTATTCCATTACCTATTGGCTGTATTCTGTTTCTTAATGCATTCTGGCAAACACGTATTTTATATGGGCTCAAACTACTTTGTTTTAATTTTGATCTCAAAATATTTCGCATTCAATAATTTTTTTTTTTCCAAATGATTAGCATCTCGCATGTTTTAAATGAATCATTATAACATTATGAAACACATGTTGGCTTTTCTACAGAAGGAAGCATTTCACTCATTCCTGATGCTTAATTGCGATGTAGGTCCTGGACTGTCTCTTGCTAGAAAAACAGGCAACTCGAACAATGTATTTAAAACAGGACTAAAAAAAAAAAAAAAAAAAAAAAAAAAAAAAAAAAAAAAAAAAAAAAAAAAAAAAAAAAAAAAAAAAAAAAAAAAAAAAAAAAAAAACAAAAAAAAAAATCATTTTTTAAAAAGTACGTGTGCTTTTTTAAAACGGAATACCTTTTAACAGTTTGTTTTATAAAAAAAATTTTTGGGCTTTTTAAAAACCAAAAATAATAAAACAAAAAAAAAATTGGCGATATAAAAACCTTAAAAGAGGCATTTTGAAACGGAAATGGAAAGGCAATTATATCAACGCTTTTATTTGGGTTAATGATTCTTTAATTAAAAATTTTTTCGGTTGAAGTACCCTTTATTGATGAAACCTGAAGACGTTTTTTAAAAGGGCAACGGGGATAACGCATCGCCCCAACATGGGTTTTGCATTTTGTGTACTCGTCCAACAGAATTCAGTATTGTACACAATGTTTTATAATAATTAAAATTTTGTATATAAATATTTACTTCACTGTCAATCTCTCATTGCCCTCAAGTGTGTTCTTAAAGAATATCAACATTGTACCAGGCCCTTAGGGTCATAACTCTTATACAACCTCGCATTCAGAATTGTACTAGTTTATGTCCCCTTAAGTAATTTAAAGTAAATATTGTGGTGACGCGTCAGGATCAAAACCACTTACAAGCCTGTTTTATCACCTGATATTAATAAACTTTTAATCAACACAAACAATTGTACGTCATAACAAAAATCCTTATATAAATCATGCCCAAGTATTACTTTAATAATTGAGTTTTTCGCAAAACAAGGACAGAAATAGTAAAATATTCCTTATTCCTATATCAATGCCACATGGTGCTATATATTTTGCTTCATTAACAATTTACAAACTAAAAACCATTACACAAATGTACAAATGAGCCGCGTCACGACAAAACCAACGTTATCAATTGCGACCAGCATGGATCCAGATCAGCCTGCGCATCCGCGCAGTCTGATCAGGATCCATGTTGTTCGCTATTGGTTTCTCTACTTGTTGTAGAGTTTGTAAGCGAACAGTATGGATCCTGATCAGTCTGCGCGGATGCGCAGGCTGGTCTGGATCCATGCTTGTCGCAAACCCATTATGTTGGTTTTGTCGTGACTCGGCTCAAATGTATGTTCTCATGTTGGTCACGACTGCTCTTCTGAAAAATAGGGTTTACTTTTGTTCAGTATGTATACTGTCTCAATGTGATTTATCTAAACTAAAATGCTTTATAAATATATATATCAACAACTCGTTGAAACGCTTCATAATCAGTCTATTAACATTTTTATATTCATACTGTTTTGAACAAAACGTTTTAATTTCCCTTGTAAACACGTAAAATAGTATGCTTTGCCACGAGACTTTTATATCTTTGCTAGGCCATACAGTGCACATCCATTTTCTTCATTGTCAGACAATTACATAATTGCCTTATGTTAATTTTCTTTCTCTTTTTTTCTTTCTTGTTTTTTATATTACTTTTGTTGTTTTCTTTTCAGTGATTTTCAATTTATCTTTTATTTCCTAATTACCTGCACTCAAACGAAAACAAGTTATTTATAGGCGTCTAATTAAGAACAACAAAAGGTATAGGATCGGGTTTGTGCATTGCTCTTTCATTTGGTAACTAACAAAGCCCGTTCTAAAAAGAGCAACCTTCAATAGTGACATGAAAGTCTGCCTTCAATATACAGACATCCTTTTATCTTTTTTTGAAACAAAATTGGTTCCCTCACTTTTGGGAAATCCAACATTAAAAACCCCTTCTCGATTTGGGAAATTTCACATAAAACGTAGGAAAAAACAAAAAATTTCCCAAACTGTAGAAAAGGGGTTAAAAAATGTGTTTTTTAAAATTTTAAAAAACGAATTTAAGGGAAAACATGTGAAAATGAATTTTGAAATTGAAGAATATAAAAGCTGAATATGGAAAAAAGAAATTTTTATTGACGAGTAAAAGGGGAGTAATTTTTACTTTTTTTTTTACTACTTATTTCCAAAAGCAAGAAAATGGAAAAATTGCTTAGCTATGTG